TTTTGACATTGAACGTCTAGAAGGGTATTCCTGACATTTTTAAGGGGTTTTCCGGTTGAAATTGAAAAGAAATTTTACTCAGACCTTTGTAAGTCAAACCGGAACAGCTCCGGACGTTTTTTTAATTTTTCATAACAACAGGGGGGGTCATTTAACTTTACGTTTTGGATTTCACTACAAACTTTCTGAAGGTCTAGATGAAAATCCCTCATAGTCGCTACATGCGCAAACTTCTAGTTTTTAAGAAACGATTTTTCAAAGTCGCGAAAACTGGATTTTCGACCTAACTTTCCGACCTTCAAAATTAATTATTTTGAAAACTAGAACCTTTCGCGGGTTGCAACTTTGATGAAGCTACATATAAACCTTCTGAGATCATTAGAGCGAATTTGTAGAAAATTCCAAGTGTTAAAACGACCTGTGTGGTCTAGTTCTGTGTTAAACGCAAACTTTAAAAAAATTATTATCTCAAATACTAGGAGTTTGCAATCTTCATATAGACGCTTAGAGAGTGTTTGAGGGAATTTATAGAAAATTCCAAACCGCCAATTAAAATGACTTCTTGTGTAAGTGTGCGGACGCCACTAAAGTGGCCACTAGAAATGCCCAAAAGTGCTGATTCCTGATTTTTTTTTTTTTGGAATCCTGAAATAAATGGGAAAACGAAGTATTCAAACCTTGATGAATAAAGTTGGACCCTCCCCTATTCTAGTGATGACTTAAGAGCGCTGATGCCACTAAAGGGGTCACTAGGATTGCACAGAAGACGAGTTTGACTTTCATTTTTTGACATTGAAACATTCGTCTAGAAAGGGAATCCCTGATTTTTAAGCGTTTTTTCGATTGAAATTGAGAAAAAAAAAAGTTACTTTAACCTCGGTAAATCACACCAAACCCGCCCTTGACGTTTCTAAGCATTTTAAGGGACCCTTTTAGCGGCGTTAGCATTTTTAAATTTTCCTTAGAAAGGCTCAAAAACCTCCGGTTCGATTTACCGAGGTCTGAGTATAACTTTTTCAGAAGAAAGTTCATGAAAAATATTTTTCAAAAAAATTGTTTGAATTGAAAAACAGGCTAGATAGCATAAGCCAAAAAAAGTAATAGAAAATAATTTTTAGAAGGAAGATTGCTAAGATCAATAGCGCTCCGCTGATAAACGCATCGAAAAATTTTCCTCAGATTTTGGTAACGCAGTCCGGACACGCTCGGAACGTCTCTGAGCAGTTCTAGGGATCACTTGAGAGTCCTGACGCTACTAAAGTGGTCACTAGAAATGCTCCGACACGTCCGGTTCGCGTCACCCAGGTTTGAGTGAACTTAATCTTGGGTTTTGAAGAATTTTTTTTTCCTATTTGAAGCCCAAAATTTTTTTCAAAAAAAACTGAATATAATTTCACAACTTAGTAAACTCAGAGCGGTCCCTATAGGGGCAACCTTAAGTACCCTTGGATGGACCCACTCTATGGACCACTTTACCAACCCCTATAGAGGCCACTTAAGCTTGCAAAAGTGGTCCTTGTAGGGGACATGATAATCGATAATGTTTATGTACTCTATGCGAAGAAGCGTTTCCATGTGTAAAATTAAATAAAGAAGCGTTTTTTTTAATTTAGTTGAAAGACCCCTATAGAAACCACTCAAGCTTTCGAGGCTAAGGGTTCAGAATCTAAACCCCTATAGGGACTTCTTTTTTGGACGCTAGGCCCTATAGTGACCGCTCTGGAAGTCTTAAAAATTGACCCAAAAGTCCATTTCTTGGCCTCTTTTTTCGCTTTCCAGTGGCCATTCATTTTTTTCGCCCCTTTGGCAACACACTTTCTTGGCGCAAAAGTCTCGAATTACAGAGAAAACAGTCGTGTTTTGTTTGACCCATCCCCTCAGGGTTTCCAAATTTAGAAACGGCCCCCGAAACACTATAAAAGAACACATTTTCGCCCCGAAATCTTGCTTTCTCAACAAAATTATGCTTTCTTCACTGAATTCTCGGCTTTTCGTCATTTTTGTTGTTGGTTTTGAACGGGTTCAGGGTCAAGGTGGGCTTAAGAAGTTTTTCTTTAGTCTTTGTAAGGATTTTTGAGATTTTTCACAAAAAATGAAGCGATTGTGGCTTAAATGACTATGAAAAAACGAATAAAAAATTGGCTGTAAATTCAGGTTTTCTAAATAAGTTTCCCGTTTCTTCGGACTTTTATGATTTTAGTAAGGAATTTTTCAGTTAAGGATAACGAAATTACGAATATCAAAAACTTTTCAAAGTCTTAACTTTGGTTTTTAGGCTTTTTTTCTCTTGTATTAAAGTTTCATCGAATTTTCAACCGGGGGGGTTAAAAATGTTCCATAGATAGTACTTTTGAAGCGTGTTTATAGGGTTAGGAAAATCAGTTAGTGTCAAATCAAAATAAGCTACGTTTCAGCAAAAAAAATCATTTTTACATGTTCATCTTCGAAATTTTCAGGACCAATCCCACTTTTTGGAACCTGTCGGAAGGAGCAAAAATGCGAGGCCAACTCAATCTGCAAATTCAATATTTGTATGCCCAATACGGCGCCCGTACCGGTCATCATTACCAATCCCAACAAGGTAGGTCGGAAAATGCGAAAACACAGTGGGCGGAGTCGAAATCTCCGCTGTTGTGACGTCATGGGAACGGCAGAGTTCTAAGAGCGTGAATAAGAGGGCTTATTAAAGGCGCAGGCCGTATTGCCATAGGTCTTTGAGATGATTCAAATTCTCACTTTAAGCGCATTTTTTTTCTGCGCGAAAGCGGCGCGGTGCATGCACACGACACACGAAACTTTACGGAGCAAAAGTGGGCGGGGCTTCGGCGAAAAAACGCCGTGGAATTTGAACACACAGGGATTTTTGTTCTTGATCAAATTTGGCTCGAAGGGTATTTTATGACCTTCCGAACCCGAAATAAATAACAATTTCGACGTTTTTTCAGATATAACTGACCACGAAGAAATTTCAAAATAGTTTTTTGGCACAATTTTTCTGAAATGCCTTGAAATTTTCAATAGCCTTGAATCAACTCAACTCTGGTAGAATATACCAAGAGATTCATAATAATAAATTGTTGAAACTTTTCAAGTTTTTTTTACTTCAAAAGACTCGAAGAACCCCTCCGAAAACAAGCAACAACGCATACGAACAGGGATCGCAATGAAAGTTATATTTTTGTGAAAGTTTCAAATTTTTACCAATACTCATATTCTCATATCATTTCTATTCATAGCAACTTTGAAACCTAGGAATGACGGGTGAAATTGGATAATCAACAAAATGATCAATGAAATGAGAGGGAATCAAGATGAACAATCTCCATAGACGAATCGAGAAAGGGTGTCGCGAGACCCTTTGGGGTGTTTCGAAGGGTCTGAAGTCTAACCATGGTACCACGGGTATAGTCAATCTTTCCCGACTTGAAAGGCGAGGGAGGCGGGCGAAGGGGCGGGACGCGTAGCGGTTGCGTACGCGGTTCTTGGCACGAGTTCAATTCAAGCGCCAGCGAGCATTCAGAGAGCTTATTTATCGCTCTTTTCACTCCTTTTTAATTATTTATTGATTATGTTCAAGTGTGCATCAAAAATAGTAGAAAATACAGAGAAAGAGCGGTTTCCGAGCTTTTCGAATAGTCGGCGGCGATTAAATTGAAGTGGCTCCAAAAACCGCGTACGCACACGCTACGCGTCCCGCCCCTTGCCCCGCCTCCCTCGCCTTTCAAGTCGGGAAACATTGACGATTCCACGGGTATACTTCTGAGCATGCGTGTGATGACCCTGTTGGGTGTCGGTCGCCCCCCTATTTTCTCCGACATAACTTTCGCACGTATGCTTCTGAGGAGTTTGAGCAAAATGGGATGGACTTCACCCTCAAGTGCCTCCGATATGGCTCACTAGAGAACGTTTTTACCGCCTATAGGGGCCACTTTTGCAGTCTTTAGTGTCACCTATAAGGGTTGGTAAAGTGGTCACTAGAGTGGACCCTTTAAGAGCCCCTAAGGTTACCCCTATAGGAACCACTCTAGAGTTTCTGAGCCACCAAAAGTCCACCCTATTGTTTTGAAAAAAAGAAGGAATTTTCAGCCATTAATTGTGAAGCCTGACCGGATCGTCAGTGGAAACGGAAACTCCTATGCGGTCACTGTTCTACCGCCCCTGATTCCTACGACTACTACGAATACGATGGCCAAAGTTCTCCGACCGAATCGACCTCTGAACTTGACCATCGCCGCCCCTGTCTCCACCAACACTATAAGGGTCACTATTTGTGCGCCGACGTGTCTTGGGAATGCCAGGTTTTCTTTTATGCATCAATAAAAGGTTGAGATTTCCATTTCACTCGATAGAAATCGAAAAACTAGGTCTCCCTGTCCCTAGACGAAAAAGGAGAGATTTTTGACCCTAGACTTGAAAATTTTGAAAAATTACGCCTTCAAAAGTGTGCCTATAGTGGTAAAACTGTTAACGGAAAATTTAGAAGATCTCTTTTTCAGAGACGATTTTTAGAAAGCAAAGTGGTCCCTATAGGGGGAAAATTCAGGTGGACCCTGAAGGGGTTTAGGGTCTGACTCCTTAGCCGCTAAAGATAAAGTGGTCCCTGTAGGGGTTTTCAACTTTTGTCCAGATTTGAAAAAGAAAAAGAAAAACTTGATCGTTTTAACCTTTTTTGATATTTTCACTAACTGACACCCCTTAAGGGACCACTTTTGTGGGCTTGTGTGGTCCCTAGAGGGGTCTCTTCAAAGTCGCCCCTATAGGGACCTCTTTGGCATTCCTAAGACGGGTTTTAGGAGCTTCAGGTAGTTATTTTTTCATCCAAAAATGTCGAGAATAATAAAATGCTGTTTCAAGCGATAGAGAAGATCATGAGGAACTCGAAAAAGGGCTCAAATGTCCTTAGACGAAAAAAAAAAAATAAATATTTGACTTTGATTAAATGAGAAACGGAAAAATACGTTTTCTCAGGCACTCAAGAATCTCTCCCACGGTTGAAATTCGGGAACCCGGGTAAAAAAAATCGACATTTCTATCGATTTTCTCCTTTCTTAAGGGCAATAGTTCAAAGAGTCTGAAAGATTTTTTGGAAATTTTCGCCGATTTCGTTGAAAAAAGTTCATTAGAGATGGTCTGATGATAATTTTGAACATCTCGGCATGACAAAAAAAGGATTTTATGAATTCGTCAAACTTGAAGCTTTCAGATGTGTCCAAGGGAACTGCCAATGTCAAGCTCCTGGCTACAGCTACAGTATCAGCATTGGATGTGTACCCAAGCTGTCCGCAGTAGCTACGGTAGCTACAGTATCCCCAAGTAAAACGCCAAGCAAAACGGTACCTTTTGCCGCCGTTCCTGTACCTGTTCAGATGGTCTCGCCGCAGGTATCGATTTTTTGATAATTGCTCTCTTTTGAAGACCCAACCTCTGATATTTTATTTCATATTTTGATTATCGAGCAGCAAACTTGCTCCAGCGGGCACAGTACCCTTTCGCGTTGATTACTCGACTATGATCCTTGAATTTCATCTGGAAAAAAAGCCAATAAATGCAGCGTTATTAAAGGATCATGCTCACGCGCGATTGAACATCGACACGAAAGATACAGTAACCTGGGGGCGAGTTAGCTGCTTAACATTCGAAATCTTTACAGATTTTATCGAGAAAATTTTGAAAATTAGATAATTTAATAGTGATTTTGAACGGAAAATTGGTTGATTTTCAATTTTTATAAAATATTTTCGGAATTAATAACGAAAAAGTCAGTTGATATTAAAACATTTTGGAAAAGCCGTCAAAAATAAGAAGTCTTCAAAATTTGAATGCGAAAAACCTTTGTTTTTTAAGAAGTGATTTTTCAATTTTTCTTGCCCTCTTAAAGCCCGAAAATGGCCCGTTTCTTTCTGAATACTTTATCATAGTTTTCAGGGCATGGTTTTACTTATTTTAATTCAATTTTCTGTTGATAAAAGTGTGACAAAGTCCAGAAAACCTGTCAAAAATGTGTCAAAATAACATTTTCCTCAGGCTCTACCTGGCCAGCCGTGCTCACCTGGTACCGAATGCACGGGTGGATCTGTCTGTAGCGTCGGGACTTGCGTTTGTCCTCCAGAGTTGGAAACGGTTTGAATTTTTTTCGATTTATTCGCCCCTGGTTTAAGAATAAACAAAAAGAAAATTGGAAAAATGGGAATTTTCAAGTTTTATGCCATGTTCATGGATATGTTGGCGGAAAAGAAAAGACAGTGAGAAAGAGAAAAAGATAGCGAAAAATTCGGAAAGCCAGATTTAATTTCGAATTTCGCTTGAACCTACTGAACGCGGAAAAAATGTAGTTTGAAATTCGCACTTGAAATGGCTTGACCGCAACGCTCGCCGAGCCATTCCAAATGCGGATTTTTTTTTCGCACAAAATTAATTTTAGTTATTTTTTCTAAAGGAATGTTCCCACTTTGAAACTAATCAAAAAAGGACAAAATTGAAAAAAAAAATGGCAAAAGCGAACTTGTTAAGTAATATTTTCAGTCGGAAGAAAGGATAATGGCCGCTAAAAGGCAGCAAAATGGTCCCCTTTTTTCTAGCCTTCCACTCTTTCTATGATTTCAAAGGCTCAAGAAATGGTCGAAAAAGGGAGAGGCAGCTAAAATGGTGCATGAGGGCTGAGAAAATGGCGAAAAAAGGTAGCAAAACAAGAACTTTTGTTACCCCAAAAGGAACTTTTCTATGCATCTTTTTTTCAGCTTTTCCAACTTTGCCTTTGAAGAAACTTACAAATACGGTTAGAAACAGTGCTTCTCCTTTTTTGAACCAGTCTTTAAATCAAGAAATCCCTAAAACCTAGATTTTAACACCTTTAAATCTCTAAAAACACGTTTCAGTCATTTTTAACATAACATATCAATTGTCTAGAAACCCGCCGAAATACGTTTCAAACAATATATTTTTCTTCATTTCTCTCCTTTTCATTCAGTGCATCTTCCATCCACTAGGTAATAAATGCCTTCCATCGAATCGAAAAAATCTAGCGAGGACTTTTTGGAAAACGGGAGAGGCACCAAAAATGGTGCAAAACAGCCGATGAAATGGCGCGAAAAGGTAGAAAAAAGGTACCTTTGTCACCTTAAAAAGAACATTTCTATGGAGCCTTTTTCCAAGCTTTCGACTTTAACTATGTTTTTTTTTTGTGCTTCTCAGCCTTCCAATCGAAATTCCATTTGCAGAACGGCGCCGTCTGTGTTTCCCCAGCCATTTATGGGTTCAAAGCGCGTGGTCTTCCCGGTTATACCAACGTTTTTTGAGTCCAACTCCCTGAAAATCAAGTTTTTGTTGTAAATTGTAAAAGATTTTATCGATCGTACTGTGTATCACAATTCATAAATATATTTTTATCTTTAAAATTGATTTATTTTCTTGATTTTTGTGCTGTTTTTATCAGTATAACTTTGAGAAAGATTTTATTTTTGATTTTTCAATGGATTTTCCTTGAACTTCTCTCCAATATGGATGAATCTACGTCAAGATAGACAGGGTCAGGTTTGAGACACTTTTAATGAATAGCAATTTGTTTTTTTAAAGTTTAAACCTTTTTTTAAAGTGAAGTTTGGAATATGACCTATTATTTACAGTTCGGTTGGAGAAAAATTTAAAAAAACGGTTTTTGAACTTTTTTTCTTGTATGGAGTTTAATCTTTCTGAAACCTTCTGGATTTGTGATTTACTGTCATTTGTAACACTAGGAATTTCAGTTCGCAGAAAAAGAATAACTATATATGAAAAAAATAGTTCCGAAAAAAAGAACACTCGAAATTTTTAATTCGTAGATTAAATTTCATTTTTTTATTGCTTCGAAACTTTAAGTTGCTTCAATAAAAGTTATACCTTTATTTTTCGGGCAGTATTCCACGTACTTTGAAAACGCGAAACGGACGCGAATCGAACGTGTCAGGGGCATTTCTAGTGACCACTTTAGTAGCCTCAGAACTTTTAAGTGATCCCTAGAATTGTCCAGAAACCTCCGAAGCACCTCCTTTTCGCGTTACCATCGTCCGAGTTCATTAACATACATTTTTGAAAAAAGAAAGTA